GTGTTACGCATGTCACCAGATAGGTTACCACGGCGAGCGATGTTCGCCGAGGCAGACACCGAGTGGGAAAAAGCCAAGGGTGGCTAAGCTAAGACCTGGCATGAGGGTATGAAAACTCTAACCAGGAGACTGTGTCACATAGGTCCCGTTAGGCTCCCTGACTGGGGACCTCGGGATGATCGTAACCGATGTTTAGACACACTGAGTGATATGGCTGGGTGTCGCAACCAGTTGCGTTCGTGCATTTTCTCAATTTCTTTTCAACCTTAGACCACCGAACTTCTTCAGTTTCTGTTCGACTCCACTTTCAAGTTTCCTTTCTTCTCCTATTCGTCATCCAAATAGGCAACTAAAGCCGCCGCATGAATATGTCTCGCAATTGTACTGCCAATTTATGAGTCATAAGTGATTGTTATTGTCGTTAAGCATGCAGTGTTTCAAATGGTCCGGAAAGCAGACGGGTAGTGGTGAAGCGGTTCAAGTCACTGTCATTGACGTGATTCTAGCTAGCTAACTCTTTTCATTGCTGCCCGGCTTTAGTGTTGTGTAGCTGCTTTGCCATTGAGCCCGATTGTGCACTACGCGTGAAGAGCAGACCCGCGAGGAGCAGGCTGGGTTTCGCGCTGGTCGTGGATGCATCGATCAAGCCTTCACCCTCCGATAACTGCTAGAGCACCGTCGTGTCTACCAAAGGCCAATGGTCATTGTATTCTTAGGCATTCGCGCGGCCTTCGACTCTGTCGATAGGACCGCAATATGGAACTGTTTGTTGAGGAATGGAGTACCTGAGAAGTATGTGTCGATTCTCAAGACGTTGTATCGTCATACCTCAGGTCGGGTCAGGGCCTATGGCCAGCTTTCGTCACCCTTCGCTGTCTCCAGCGGAGTTCGACAAGGTTGCCCTGTATCTCCATTCCTTTTCAACTTTGTCATAGAGGATGTTCTACAGAATGCTTTGTCCGGTCTAGCAAACGGTGGAGTCGAACTCCTCCCAGGGAACAGAGTTCTTGGCTTGGAATATGCCGATGACATCGCCTTGCTGGTTGACAACACACAGGCAGTCCAAGAGGCTTTGAACCGCTTGGCGATCGAGGTATCCGGTTATGGTATGTGCTTTGTACCTCATGTTGTTCGTTACCCTGAGTCATCGGTTTCCGTAACCGAACAATAGGTCGTCGTGAATGTCCGGTTCATCTGATAATTAATTAAAAAGAAATCAATGAAACATGCTGTAAGAAACCAACTAGGTTGATTAGTTAACGGATTTGAACTTTACTTCTGATAAGGTTTTTACAGTTTTCCAGAATGTTTTTGTGAAACGTATTAATATTTATCGATATTGTTGCCCATCCACCCAACCCCCCGCACCCGTCAGTCCAATGTGGCCGATATCGCTTTACCACCATCACCCAAACGTTCTCGATCGTCCGAAGCCACTGGTCCAACAGTAGCTGAACAAACCGCAATCCGTTCCTCCACTGTGACAACCAATCCGGACAAAGTAATCACCAACCAACCACGTTCGGGACCGGAACCGGCAACAAATACGATCGATAAGTCGGAGAAAACCAACGAGACCATGGATTGTAAGTGTTTACCAGTTTTTGGTCATCATCACCTCGGACCCTCGTGCACACTCATCTTTTTTTTCTTCACAAGTCATTGTGTTTTTCGATCCCTTGTCGACTTAAATAGCTAATTCCAAGTCCTATCCGATTATTATAATTGGCTTACACAATCACGAATGTTTGACAAACAGTGGTACTGTACCATTGCTCGATTACAACGAATACATGGTACCATTGACTAGCTCCGTCACTTAAAATCCTGTTGCTATGGCTTCTCGAATAATGCCAATCGAGAACATTGTTTGCCGTATAGATAATAATTTTACCGTTCGATCAAAAAATCTCCTATAGTTCGCAATTTGGTGTCCAAGATCTTACTTACTTTACTTTTGATCGACTAACTCCTGCGGGAGGATAATTCGGCTTCCTGGATGTCTCTGATGATGACAGCCCATGTATGATGATCGGTAGCAAGGTTGGCGCATTGAGAAACCCAGTTCTGGTTCCAGTTGCGAATTTCATATACGGATTGAAGACCCTGTTGTTCCAAATCCCCCTTGATCGTGCTACTCCAGGTTTTCAGTTGACCAACGAGTCGGCAACGCCATCCACGGCACGGTGCGGGGGCTACAGCCTGTCGCGAGAGTTGAGTGTCGGGCCTTCGGAGCACATGGCCAAACCACTGAAGGCACCGGCGTTATAGCATTTTTGAAAGCTTGTCGATGTTCAAGCAGCGCCGTCGAACCTCGTTGGAAATCCGATCTCTCCAGTTTGCTTCCAAGATGCGGCGTAAGCACCAATGATCAAAGACTTCTAGCTTCCTTGTATCTTGTACTCTTAGCGGCCAGGTTTAACAACCATAAGTGAGGATAGGGCTGATGGAAGCCTGATAAACCCGAAGCTTAGTGTTTAGGCTTATCTGAAGGTTTCATAACAACTTTGTTCTTTCCAATTTCCAACTGGATATCTCACAACTTAACGAGTGATTTTCTGCACATAACCTTTCTATGAACCCATCCAAATGTGTTGGTGTTTTATTTTCTCTCCCTATGAGTTAATCGTATTCGGATTCTCTTGAGATATGTCAGCCACTATTCATTAGCGATACGCCCATTAGTCGGGGAAAATCAATGAAATATTTGGGGGTGTTATTCTTAACCATTCTGTTTCTTGGTTGCTGAGCACATCAACAATGTATTTCTGAAAGTCAAAAGGCTTCGTTTTTTGTCCTACGCCTAAGGAGATTATCCATTCCTCCTTTCCAATCTGATAAAGCAGCTTTTTCATGCCTTCTGGTTCTACGCTTTACCAGTGATTTTTCCTGGCTTATCACAAAAGGATACATGTGTGATATACAGGTCACTCAGACATTTATCCATATGTTGTGGTTTAACAAAAACTCATTTAATTCTTCACATAGTCTCCCAACACAGCCTGGGATAAACCGGCTCACAAAATAGTGTTCGACTCCTGTTCCTCACTTAACTGTGCATTATCTAAATCTATTTCAATCTCTTCTATTCGCTCCAAGTACAAACACGTTCAAGCACACACACACACACAATAGCGTATCACTCTTCCATTGCTTCTTATCTCGGTCGATTTTTATGCCACCCGGACGTTATTTTGCACGATTTTCTACATAGCTTTGAGTCAACTTCACAAACTTGATGCATTTATCCCTAGCTTCAATTTTGTGTGGTGTTTGGCCGCCGAATTTGCACCAGATGGTGTAACAAATCAACTTCCTGACTTGACTTGACATGTCTTCAGGATTGAGGGCAGAGGACAGGGTGCCCGTATAAGCCCCATCACCGTTTCACACTATCCTCGACTCGTTCAACAAGTGTCGTCAGGGCATCAAAGCGATGGTACAAGTTTCGGGTTTCACGTGCATTGCACGCCGCCCTGGAACTCTCCGTGACATCGCTTCGCGATACCACGGCACAAACATAAACTAGTTTTTCTCTCCCTGTACTGTTGCTACCTCATTCGGAATGGCAAACGTGGTCTGTTTTGTTCTCACGAAATTTTCACGCCACGCTGCCTTGCAGTGCATTCCCGATATGCATGGCCAAAATATACGTTCCGTTAAAACAAGCTTACTTTCCACGTGAATGAATTTTCAGTTAAAAAAACAGATTTGATTTCACAAAGAAATTTACTCTCATATTCTTCATATTCAATTGACTATCCTTTCTAAGTGTGAATTTTCTTCTAGAGCCTCGTTAACTCATGGATTTATTTTGTGTGTGTGGGCGGGGGTGGGGGTGGGTGGAGAGCAGGAATAGCAACTTGATCAGCTCCGTTTGCCAATCTCAACCAGACTTTCACCTCTACCCGTCAGCGCAGCAGAGTTGTACCAGACTAGCCAGTAGCCAGTCGTTCGGTTCACATGAGCCTTCTCGGGAAGGCCTTATCAAATCCATGGATTCGGACAAAGGGAATGTTGGTCTCATTCGTGCTGATTGGCACTCGCGATGTCACAGTCCCGTCAGCAGCTGTTTCTGTCATTTGACACAGACTACACATGCCAAACAAAAATCCCACATGTCCTCGTCTACTTAGTCACGAGTTTGCTACTCATTCGATGGCCGTTCCCTGAAGGCCTGTCGGGTTACATGTAAATTTACCCCTCTCCCCCCCCCCCCCGGGGGGGGANAAACGAATTAACAACAGGCTGTGAACCCTGACCCCTACCTCCCCCAATCCGAGTCACAGGTATCGTGACCAGGGGTATGCTATCATCAAACCCGGCGGATTTTTAGTTCCAACCTGGAAATTTTATGATCAGTTTAGTTTCCACTTCGTGTAAACTGGTTATTCAACGTCTCAAAACTCATCAGCCCTAATCTGTTTACCGTATATCCGCCACCGTTATCGAGTTTGGGTTGATAAGTGCTTGTCCTTATATGTAGCAAATCTATTCCCCAACTGATTCACTCGTTAAACTTAAGTCACACTGGGCACTAGGAATTCCGGTCTGAAGTTTTCATTTAATTACTCACGTATTTGTTATTATTCTGAGAATTGCTGTGTCAAGAACCCGCAGTTAGGATATTAGTGACTCCGGGGCAAAGTCCCCGTTTAGGTCACCATCATTCCAATGTTCTTACTATTTACATATCCACCTTCCCGTTTTTCACAGTGAATGAATCGAAATACGTGTGGATGAGCAATCTTCCCCAAGGTGTAAAAGCTGTGGACATCAAGGACAGATGCACACCGTTTGGTCGTGTAAGTTGTCACTTACTCGTTCTGATTGGACTGGTGTCCGTTTTTATCTCAGATGTAAATCTTACGCTTCCAGTTCGCCTTTGTGTTTGTTTTACTCTGATTTTCACCTGCGAGTTGGAAATCTGGGACCCAATCAGCTCGGAGATTACAGTCCTTCCATTCGTTATCATGGTTTATCAGTGACCACCTTTACATTTTTAGGCCATAGAATGGTATTTTTTCACTTTTATCTTCAACCGATTTATTCCACATACCCATAGGTAGTTTTATGTTCGGAATGGTTGATAAACAGTGAAATAAAATGTCAGGTTACGGTTTCTCATTCTCCCCTTGCACCTCGCGTAATGCTCCCATTCGGCCAAGTGTCTCTAATAGCCACTGCTGAGGAAGCCCTACTCATCGCCTTCTCGTGGGAGTGGAGGTGTTTTCCCACCAAAGTGAGAGGCCAAAAAGCTGTTATCCGGGGCTATAACCAGGTTGGTGGTCCACTGATAGTTCACCTAGGGGAGTTGGCCAGAATCCCTGATTCCAAACCAACCAACAGGAGGAGGCGTATGAACCACGCACGAGTTCCGGAATGTGGCGGTTGTGGTCACCGGCTCGATTGGGCATCGAGGTGTATTGGGCACCTTGGACGTTTGGCCCCGTCCAAACGGCGTATGATCCGATGAACTGGACACCGACCCCAATGGATCGTGGTTTTCGTACAACGCCCTGCTACCTTGCGGATCAAGCTTAGGCTAGCCGAAGGCTAAGGTTGTGAATTCCTCGAGAGAATTAAGCTGCCTTGGCCTGGGCGTCCTTCTTTTTCATAAAGATTATTGTACCATGATGTATTTGGCACAGTATGGATTGAGTAGTTTGCTTTCCACTTTCGTACTATTTTCTCCTTGTTGTCATCCTCGCTGTTGTATTCCATTGGCACACGGATTCGAACCGGAGTGAAATGAGTTTATCAATACTCGTGTAAATATGACAAATGTGTGAGGAAAGCAGTGATGCATGTAGGAATAAACGGCACGAACACGTTTTTGCTTTTAACACATCATTAGCTTTCGTCGTGAATTATAACTTAACAGAGCGCCGCTTGCGTAGTGCATTGAACATTGAGCCGTGTTCTCATAGCTTCAGCTCAGTTCGTGGTGTAGTCACTTTCGACATTCTTACTCTTACTACCTACAAACAAGACACTCAGGGGTGGGGGGGGGGGCTGTATCTGCTTGTTCAAGGTGACTGGCTCTCGGGAGAGGATAAACCGGCTTCATGACTTCATCCCGAATTGTCGCTATCCGTACTGGAGGGGGGGGGCAATGGTCTGCGGCAAGATCAGGGCAGATTGTGATCCAGCGTGAATTCCATCGGCGAATACCGTAGACGGAGCGGAGACCACGACTTTCTGTATCGTTTCGTACCGTGTCAAGCCAGGTTTTCAGCTGTCCACCGTGTGGACAGCACCAGTTCGGGCAAGGAGGCGGCGCAGCTTTGGTCAGGTCGTTACCGAACTTATGAAGTATGCGACCAAACCGTTGTAGCGTTCTTAATCGTATCAGATTAAAACACCGGTTTCTAACCGCTTCAGTTCAGAGCTGATCCCTCTATCGCAATCTTGTAGTGATTCTTAAATGCCAGTGATCGAACGCTTCTGATCGTTTTCAGTCTTCGATTCTAAGTGGTCAGGTTTTGCTTCCGTACAGTAAGACAGGTTACCGAGAAAACTCGTGTTTTTGTCCTTAGACTGATTTCATTTCTACTCTATAGGGAACTCTTCAGCTGTCGAAATGCCTTTCTGGTAGCATTTACGTGCACATGTACCTCGTCTTTAGCTTATCCTTTGGGGAGGATGGTTGAGCTCGAGTATTTAAGGCTTTCGACGGATTCGATCGGCTCACCGTTTAGTTGTAAGGCACCTTCGGATGAATTGGGACTGTCGCAAATGTTTTGGTTCTTGATGTGCTCATCTCTAGGTTGATATCCAAGACCTGTCGATTTATGCTGTCAATAATTATTTGGAGGCTGGACATGTGCTCACCAAAGACTACAATATCATCGGCGAATTCCTAGTCGGAGAAATCTGAATTGCCTGGTATCCTTCTATCGAACGACCCACTATCCAGTCAACGGCGAAGTTGAACAGCATTGAGGACGACGGGCAGCTCTGTCGTACTCCGGCTTATCAGTTCCGCGATCCCAACTTAACTAGTCCTCTGGATGCGGAACGACAAACTCGTTCATCAGAGCAGGTACGCGAGAAGCAACGTTTGGCCGATCTCTACTGTAGTGAGATTGGGAATTGCGACAACGCTCTACATATTAAGAAGGAAAAGCTATTGACCAAAAACGCCTGTTTGGCGTGATAACGATGTTCATTGTGCATGTCGCTCAAGAGTATTTATGCACTTTAAATTTGTGGGTAAAACAGGTGGATAGTTTGAGTGCTAGTGTAGCCATCCATATTCGGTATGCGTTTTGCACCTTCAAAGTGAAAAATGTTGCTACAAGACAGTTGGTCCATTTCCCGACTTCACTGTAACTGGGGGAGTCATAGAGCAAGTGGTCAAGTTTTGTTACCTTGGCAGCTATATCTCACTCGGCGGATAGATCACGGATAAACTTTAAGCATGCATACGGAAGGATCGATTGATATTTGTCAACTTGAAACATCTGTGGCGTCGTGGCGACATCCAGTTGTCTGTGAAGGTCGATCAGATGCTGCAGTGGTTCGGCCAGTTCTGCTATACGACATCGAAACATGGCCATTAAGGAAACAGGAGAAAGATAGACTGTCGGCCAACTCTACTACTGAGCCGCATGCCCCAGATCACTCGAACTACATTAACAGCTTACCCGTTTCCTCATTCGTGACATGCACTAAATGCCACGTGCTGCGAAAGGGCGAATCATATATGGCTCACCGCTTAGCTCGGTCACACGTCCGTGCGTTTTCACCAGAATCAGGTGATTGCTCACACGTGTTGCCCGTTTGAGCTAATTGCCGTGCGAGCCTTGCATGATGTCTGTCTCGTACTGATGGTTTTTTTCCGTATTCCTCTTGTTCCGTCATGAAAGGACTATACTGACTGGCTAAATTTTCTCTTCCCACTCTCCCTCGTTCTCTCTCACACATTCGATCCGGACCAATATCTGAAGGTTCAAACAATCAAGATTATCGGAAGCCGGAAGAGTAAACCGCCTTCCATTTACGCGTATTTGATCATGGAAACCGCGGATGCCGCGGGTCGACTGATTGACGGTCTTCAGGGCACCAAATTTGGCGAGAACCAAGTCAAACTAAAACGAGTAAGCTGCAGGGTTGAAAACATTCCTGTTCATTCATATACTTGTACCCAGGAAGTGTATTTTCGCCACAATAAGCTTGTTTGCAACACCGGATGACTTTTGGATAGACAGCTCTTTCAGAATCAGTTCATTGAAGAATCAATCCGATGA